TCCATTGAATGCCTTTCTCCACCCATGGTAGTGATGATTAGAATTTAAGAATCTACGATGACCGAGAAATACATTCTTTTAACAAAATTCCAATTGCTTCTAATTTGTGTGTTCTTCACAAGTAGGACATGCTTTTTGACCTTTAATGCTATACCCTAATTGATTTTCGTATGCCGAAAAATCATTAATTGTACCAAACAACATCGCCCTTAAATTGAAACTTTCTTTCCTATATCCATCATAAACCTCCACACCGTTCTCCCATAAAATCTGTAAATCTTCGATTAATGGTTTCAAGTAAACGTCTATGTCATTCCCTGGTTGTTTAGATCCAGAAATTAACATAGATATCATCATGTACTTGCGCTTCATATATAGCCATGGAGGTAGGTTATAAATCATAATAATTATAGGCCATGTGGTATGTGAGATACTTTGAAGACCATGTGGGTTCATTCCATCAGTAGATAATGCCAAGCGAAGGTTTCTTGCTTCTCCTCCAAAATTAGGATAATCATTATCAATTTCCAACCACTGTGGTGAATTTGTCGGATGTCGAAACTTTCCATCAATAATTCTTTCATCTGCATGCCAAGTCAAGTGTCTTGCATCGGTTTCACTATGAAACATGCGTCTAAACTCGGAATTATAGGAAAATACCATAAGCCTTTTGCTGGAGACAATTTTTTCTTATATCGAGATAAACCGCATTTAGGGCACTCATTTAACGATGCATATTCGTTTCGAAACAAAATGAAATCATTTCGACAAGCATGTATCTTATCATAGCTCATGCCAATAGAGCATAACATTTTTTTGGCCTCATATGTTCGATTAGGAAGAACATTATCCTCCGGAAGCATATCTCTCATAACGGCTAATAACTCTGTGAAACTTTTATCCGACCATCCATTGCCCGTCTTTAAGTTGTACAACTTTAATACCGCAGATAGGCTTGTGAATTTAGTGCAACCTTTATACAACGGCTTCTCTACATCGCTTACGAACCTCTCAAACATTTTGGGACAATCCTGAAGATCTTCTTCAAGTGCTTCTGCAATCTCTTTGACTCGATCACAATCATATGTATCTGTGTCATTGTCGCCTGAAGCATATGTCGTGCTATCCTCCGGTTCAACATTCTCATTACTTTTCACACCATGGAATATCTAACATGTGTAACTACGATCAATTCCACGCCTCAATAAATGTGATTGCAAGCCAACTGCGTCAAATCGATCCATAAAACAACAACTTAAGCAAGGACATTTCATTCGATTGGCGTCTTCGACGTGTTCAACAATATACTTAATGAATTCAAATACCCCATTCTCGTACTCTTTGGACAATCGATTGACAGACATCCATTTTTATCCATGGTCTTACTATTAAGTAAGCTAAATAAAAACAATACTTAAAAAAAAAGGACAGAGACTAAAAAGCTTAATACCAATTAGGCATATTCATCGAAAATAAAAATACTATAATTATTCAAGCAATTATAGCAAATTAAAAGAACAACTAAATACCTGTAGAGAAGTCAGCAACTTCTGAAACCACACAGTGTAATATTCTTGGAAACGCTAAAAAACTCCACTCTTCCCAAGTAACTTATATAAATGATCAATTAATTTTATTATAATAAAAAAGACTATAGAATAAGAATTACATTAGAATATTTATACAATATTAAACATATATGTATACACCATTAATTAATCACTAATATTCTTTTTAACATACATTTTACTAATAAAACAACATTAAATAATCACTAATATTTATATACCATGCATCAAGAATATTTATACTATAATGACCGTCAAAAATCATCACTAATATTTATATCTATATTATCACTAATATTTATACACCATCAAGAATATATATTATCGTTTCTATTCTATATTATCACTAATATTTATGTTATCGTTTCAACTTTACATTATCATCAAATAATCACTTATATTATCAACTTTATACCATCAACTATATGAGTTCTTTCAATTTCAATTTCAACTCTATGTGAAGTGCTTTCAATTTCAACACTATAAGTGTTATTACGACAACCTATCACACCAAAATGTATAGCTCGCTTAATTGTATAGGAGATATTTTCTCTCAATCAACACATGCAATATTCATTGTGACATTTACACAAACACCTTACATGCAAAACTCATTGTGACATTTTCACAAACACCTTACATGCAAAAAACACATGCCACATAAAACACAATATAATGCAACATTATCAACACTAAATCAACACTATAAACACTATCAAATAAACAAAATGCAACATTATATATCAACATTATCAAACATATCAAAAAATCATACCTAGAGGAGAAGAGAACCTTGATTGTGAATGGAAGAAAGGATGAAACGGTCTTGAATGGAAGAAGGATGAGAACCTTGAAGAAAGGATGAAACGATTTTCGTTTAGAATCAAACGAAAAAATGAAACTTCGTGAAAATGGGTTCAACGGATTCGTACTGTGTTGGGCGTAGGGTTCGGCAAAAAAGTTTCTGAAAATAATAATGTTACTGTGTGATACTGTGCGTTTTTTTTTATAACAGGACTTTACGCAGCGCTTTCAAAAGCGTTGCGTAAGTCCACCCTTAGCCATCGCTTCTAGTAGAAAGCGCTGCTTAATCCCCCCCTTTAGGCAGCACTTTTATAAAGCGCTGCGTAAGCCCACCCTTTAGGAAGTGGTTTTAAAAAGCGCTTTATAAGCCCATCCATTAGGCAGCGCTTCTCCAAAGCGTTACAATACTTACCCCCTTTAGCAGCGCTTTATCAAACCACATTCACCCCCTTTAGGCAGCACTTTCACAAAGCGCTGCTTAAGCTCATCCTTTAGGCTTTGCTTTTAAAAATCACTTTGTAAGCTCACCCTTTAGGCAGCGCTTCAGTACCTACCCCCTTTAGCAGCGCTTTAACAAACCACATTCACCCCCTTAGGCAGCGCTTTTTTAGAAAGCGCTATCTAAGGTATACGACCAAATTCCCGTGTTTTTAAAATGGACTTTTAGCAGCGCTTTTGATAAGAAGCGTTGTCTTAGGTGTGCTGTCTAATCTTATTTTTGGCGTAGTGATAGTTTGACTAAGAAAGATTTCTGAATATGAAATACTTCTAACAAATATGCCTAAAATTTTACCAAATCAAATATTCTTTAAAAAAATATTCATAACCTATTTGAAAGCGTCTTATCTTGGGGTTATATCATCACCGGAGAATTAATAAAAGATAAAGGAAAATAATTATGGCATGATTTATATTCTATTTGGTTCCATGATTTTGATGGGAAACAATGCCAAAGTGGTCTCTCAAGTTAATATTCATGACTTTGTGGTTTTTAAGTTTTTCAAAGTCCCTTTGCATCCTCCCAAAGCGCCGCGAATTCTTGAAGTTATTTGGAAATTGCTTCCTCATAGATGAATTAAGATTAATTGTGATGGTGCATCTTTAAATAATCCAGGGTCTTCTGCTTGCGATGGTATAGTGAGAGATCACGGGGGTAGGTTTTTTGGTACATTTGCATATTTTTTGGGTTTCTCTAACTCTTTTGTTGCCAAACTTTCTAGTGCAATAGTTGCAATAGAGTTTGCCAATGAGAAGGGTTGGCATATCATTTGATTGAAAGCAGACTCTATGGCTGTGGTTCAAGCCTCCGTTCATGGTGTCCTAGAAAATCCGTACCAGATGAATCAATTGTGTGAATATCACTTTGACAATATCTTTTGTTGTTTCTCACATTTTTAGAGAAGGGAATAGCTGTGTTCATTCTCTTGTTAACTTAGGCTTTACGATTTCATATTCGATTCATTTTGACTCGACACCTATTTTTTTTGAGGATAGATTTTGTAAAGACTAAGTTTGATTTGTCTTTCTTTAAATTCGTTTCTTTTTGAAAGGGTCTTGATTTAGTCTCTCTCTTTTGTAATCTTTTTCTTTATATATATATATATATATATATATATATATATATATATATATATATATATATATATATATATATATATATATATATATATATATATATATATATATATATATATATATATATATATATATATATATATATATATATATATATATATATATATATATATATATATATATATATATATATATATATATATATATATATATATATATATATATATAACCTTATTTAAAAAAAGTGTTCAATCTCCAAACCTAAGGTCTTAATATCGGTTTCTCCACAATTTCAAGAAGATAGATATCCAAACTTCAATATCACAAAAATTAAAACGTTTATAATCTTTTCATTCTTTATTATTCCTTTTGTTTGAAAATGAGTGTCGTTTTAACAAATAATTTTTTTTTCAAAATGAATTCTCACTTTTCAATATAGAAATAATTGTTATTTTTTCAATTATGTCCTTTAATTATTACAATTTAAATTACTTCAAATACATTTATAAGGTTAATTTAGTAAAAATACAATGTGTTGTGACAATATTATTACATTATTTAATCGGTATGCAAAAACCTTAAAGAACAGTCATTTTAAAATAGAGAGAATAATGTATAAGAACTTTTATTTCTCTTGTCAAACTAAGCTATTACGTTGAAAAAATTAATTATTTCTCTACAATTCAACCATCTTAACAATTTCTATAGTATATAAATATTCATTAACTCAGCTTAGTATATAAAAGAAAAAGTGGAGTGCTTATGGAAAAGAGTGAGATCTCTCTTTTCACATTTCACACATCCAACCTCATAAATTGATAAATTGAAAGTTTATTAAAAATTATAAATTATCACAAAATTATAACAAGTAGTACATGACTCACTTAACCATCCAAGGAAAGCTCCATGCTCTTATAAAATTGAACAATCATCACGACAAACACATGACACATTTTTTTTTAAATGACGAGATCCACTAAACAAATACCATGCATGAGTGACCAGAACAAAGTTAAGGAATCCATAACTAATACTCAATGGTCATATATATGATCAGAAGTAAAAGATTCCAGCAACAGCGGTGGCGACAGCCGTACCGACAGCGGAGAATTGGATTGACGAGGCAGCATTTTTTGCTGGTGGAGTATCGAAGGCACCCGGTGGCACTGGTCCACCGATGGGTGCTGCGATAACACCGCCATTTGCTGAAGGAGGGTCACCGCGTCTGGTTCCAATGAGAAACTCTGAGTCATCTTCTTCGTAGTCATCTTCGGAAGGCATTGGTGGATCTGCAGCACATGAAAGGCCAATCATGGCCAACATTATTAGGGCAAGAACAACAACATGCCGTGAACGTGCCATTTGTGTATGTGTTTGTTTGTCTCGGTTGTTGTTGTTGATGCTGTTCAATGTAGAGGTGGGTTTTGTTTGTGGGTGGAGATTTGTAAGAAAGAGTTCGTAATTTATATGCAAAATAATTCAAAGTTCTTGCGATGTTTGTGGAAAGCCATTGTTAACGTTTTAACTATTTACAGGAATGTATAGAAATATATGGTTATTATTGGTTAGTTTTATTTTTAGAGTATTATTATTGGTTAGTTATAGAGTTATTATAGTAGGAAGTTTGCTCAAAATAAAATTTGAGTCTTCTGATTGTTGTTGATGTTGTCTAAAGAAGGAATAGGTTGGCTAGATCCAAATTGTCGTATTTAGGGGCTCAAGTTTTCGATCCATTTATTTAGGACAGGCCCAACTTAATTCCACTTTCTTTTTAAATTAAATTACATGTAGTTGCAATATAATAAATCCACTTTGAAGGTTGCTCTTTGTACATTTAATATTTGTTCTTAAACCCTATGAAAATTAAATTTTTTTTTTTTGAAATTTGAAATCCGGATGCATTATACAATATAAAAAATAGGTCCAAAAAAAATATACATGTTTGATTATTGATAATCAGATACACCATTTGAATATCAATATCTCGATGCACCTCAAAAAAATTGGAGATTGGAATCTAAATAGTCATGATTCTTGCATTATAAATTCTTAAATTCTTTCACTTATCATCATATAGTAATTTTCCTTAAACCTTCCAAAAAATTCTTGTGGTATTCCTATTCAATAATCTCACTTATAAACAAAAATATATTGTATTTCGATATCAATAAATCATGATAATCTAAAATTATAGACAATGTATATGTCTCTCATTGATTATCATTTAAAAAATCTATTTTTTCTTCATCATGAATATCGTCTGACTAGCCGAACATACCAGGAGAGTGTACTCAGAGTCTTTGAATGAATGATTTAATTGTCTTATTTCTTTTAGTTATAGGTATAATATATATCCTGATGCTGTCAACAAAGTTAATGTATCAGAGTATGGTGTTTCAAAAGATCCTCAACCAGCTTTTGTACACGTTGATGTTGGAAAATATTTTATCACTAAACATGAGTTTACATTATGTGAATAAATGTTTCAATGGATTCTATAGAAGCTGTCAAATTAGTTTTGGGGATAGTTATCGGGAGGTCGAATTCAGATTCAAATAGAAGGTGGACATTTGATACGATGACATAGAAAAGAAGTGGCCAATATAAAAAATCTATCAGGAAGTTGAAGTATGATAACACCAAAACAAGGAAATGTGGGTTTCGTTTTAAGTTGTGCGGGTACCACAAATCGAATAATACTTGGAAATTTAGTATGATTTGTGGTCTATATAATCATGGATTGAGTAGCAAGTTAAATGGTAATCAGATTATCTGTCATCTGAATTATGAAGAGAGGAAACTTGTTTTTGAGATGACATTCAACCCAAACACATACTTAAAACTTTAAAAAAGAAAATACTCGAAAGTATCTTGGATATTAAGAATTATACAATGTTCGCCACCGAAACAACAAAGCAATAAGGGGTTTAAGTGAAGGTTGAGTTAGAAAAAGATAAGAAAAGGGGGGTTCGAATTGGGTTTTTAAAAGCTCGTTGCTTGGAAATTGCTTCAAACAAACAATCAATATAGGAAAGTTAAGAAAGAAAAATGACATAATCGGTTTATACAAGTTCACCTTAAACAAGGCTATTCTTGTCAACATGCCAAGGTGATTTCACCTTCAAAAATGACTTAATCCACTAATTGGAAAGATTACAAACAAACGTCTACGAGTTTAGAAAAATATCTTATCCCTCTCAAGTATACAAACTATCACCTAGTCACTTGAGGAAAACAAATCTCAAAAGATTTACAATAGAAAGTGTTTACAATAATGCTTTTAGAAAAGCAGATTTAACACTTACAATGAAGAACAAATGTCTACACACAAATATGAGCAACAACCATGTGTTTTAATTGAGAATAAATGATAACACAAAAATGAGCAACAACTCTTTGTGTTTTGATTTTCTATTTGAAGAATATTTCTCACGTAGATGTCTTTGCACAATAATTTTTCTCTTTGTTGTTTCAATATTTCTTAATTATTCTACTTCTTCAATGAAGTAGTCATCCCTTTATATATGCATAAAAAATTAGACCGTTGAGAAGGACAAAATATCACTTTGATTTTCTAGCTGCCATAACAGTAGCATGAGATCATGGAAGACAATTCATTATTCACCATAGTGGAATATGTACTGCATTGTTGTACTAACTCTTCTTGTGCAAGTTTTCTTGATCTTATCTTCTAATGATATACTTACGATTTGAATTAAAATGAGTCCAAAAGAGATCATATTTTTGTTCTTGTCTTCTGATGAAATACTTCTAATATGAAGTGATGAATAGTCTAGAAGACATCTCATTGATAGAGTGTTCCAAAAAATATCAGAGTCAGAGCCTTGTCTTCAGAGCATGAAGCAACAACTTATCTGAGGAATAAATTTTGACTTCTGAGATGGAAGCAAAAGCTTATCTGAGAAGCACATCTTGATTTCTAGCTGGAAGCACAAGTTTTATCTTAGAAGCACACGAAGATCCTTTTCTAGCAAACATTCAACATTCATCAAAACTGCTGATGTTTCTTTAGAAGTGGATGCAATAGTTCTTTCTGAGACGTGTCAGTAGAGATTCTAATAATTTTTCCAGATAACTATCCAGAATCAAATAAAATATTATATTTGCATACTCAAGAAACTATTAGAGTATAAAATTGTTACATATAAAATATATGTATTGTTATCATCAAAACTAGAGATTATAAGCAGAACCAAATCTTGTTCTAACAATCTCCCATTTTTAATGATGAGAAAACCATGTATTTTGATGAAACAGTTTTACAAGGTTATATCATTAAAATATCAGAGTTAGTTTAGAAAAACTCCCCCTGAGATAAACAAGTCCCCTGAGTGTAATACTTATAAAATTTAGAGATTAAGGGATATCAGAGAATTGTTAACTTTGTCAAAGCCTGATTACGATCAAGAGTATGCTTATCTGAGCTTGATTTATCAGAAGCATTGAAACATTAGAGTTTCTTTATCAGAACTTGATTCATTCACATATACACAATGTTCCTGAAAAAGCATTTCAAACAATTTTGCAGATTTATAATGTTATAATGTTGTGTATGCAATGAGATTTAAAGAATTAGATATATATCAAAATCAACACTATTTTTCTCCTCCTTTTTTGTCATAATCAAAAATATGTTTAAAAAAAAGCGTTAGAAATAACACTTTGTGTTTTAAATAGTCATCACACTTTTCTAATTCCTCAAACAAGATAGAGAATAAAGAGACAAGTTTAAAACAAGGAAACTTTCATTAATGATTGAGAAGAGTACATACACGTGATAAGTGCAAATTGTAGTTATTTTTGTATACATTTTTTGTTGCACTTATCGATGCTTTTGTCAATATTTTGTGAATAATTTCCCGCTTTGTTTATAAATTCGTTTAGTTTGTACATAATTGAGTTTTTGATTCATTTATGTATCGTTTGATAGTTTTCCATTAATTTTGTAGGTATTTGAGCACGGTTGGAGCATTGAGTAATAAAATATCCAAGATGCAATTTTGGAGAAAAGATTTAAGAAGGCAAAGAAAGAAAGCCAAGAAAAAATCTAGGAAGTTCACTTTTAGCAGCAGCGCTAGGCGGTGCTGAGGCGATGACAGGGCGCTGTGAGCGTCGGGACCATCGTCGGGCGAATTCAGAGAGGTGGACAATGGATAAAATCATGTGTTTCTGTCGTGTGCCCGCATCTTAGTTGTCGGACGGGTTTTGAGGTCGTCGTCGGGAAGTGAGTTTGAGCGCCGCCGGGCAACACTAGATATTTTTGCCAAATTGCTTATGTGGTGCAGGCTGAGTGGCCAGAATAAAAGCCAGAGTCGGGCGGTGCTTTTGGGCGTCGGGTGGTGCGTGCTTGAGAAGATTTTTTTATATATTTTATTTACATTTCATTTGTTAGGGTTATGGGTTTGGGGATATTTTTAGCTCCCAAATTCATCAACCCTCATTTTTCCTTAGGTTAGATTAGAAAATAACTATGAATTTTGCATATGGATGATCCGAGGTGGATTGCTCATAGATCAACAATGACAAACTGGGAGATTTATGATTCACTTCTCTTCTTCTTTGTGTTTTCTTAATTTGTTGAGTTTGTATATGTATTTACTTTGAACTCATGTATATTTGTCGCCCATGGCATTGTATAAAACTTGCTTTACAAATATTTGTCGATTATTGTTCTGGATTTTTGATCTGTGCTTGGGGTTTGGATTGTTATAGACATATACTGATGGAATTCTTATCTAGGATGGTTGTCTAATAGTGTCTAGATTCTAGAGTTAGATTTAGAGCTATTATTCACTTGGGTGTCTGTGATTAATGCATTTGTGTTGGTTGCATCATTATGAGAGATCGTCAATGCGATTAACATGGTTGACTTCTGTGTTGTTGAGGTTGGTTGAGAGATCTCCACCGAGGGGATATAGTGGGTGTTATGTTTGAAACGTGATGACATTGATGAGTATTGTAGGTTGAGTATAATTGGTCGATAGGTTTAAGTTTGAGAGGAGTAGATTATATGCATGCTTGATAAGTTTCCCATTTGAAGAATGCATTTATTTTCTATTAATACCTTTTACCTTTCCTTACAAAAACCTAATTCAAACCCAAACTCATTAACAAGAGATTTGTCGAACGACAGTTCAGTAGCACTAATCTCTATGGAGATGATACGATATAACCTATATCACCCTATAAAAATACTTACTTTGTTTTCCGCTTTACCGCTTCAGCAAAATGTCACCTTTGTCGGGGATTGGTGTTTTATTGGATTGCATTGTGATAGTTTCTTTGTTTTTGAGTTTTGTAATTAATGTATATGTTGTATAAAAATTGTGCATGAACTTGTT